TCAGATCTCTGGTATACTTCCCTTGGTTGATGAAGATTCCTTTTGGAACTTGTTTGACTTGCAGTCCTAGAAAGTAGCTCAGTTCTCCCATCATACTCATTTCAAACTGACTCTGCATTACTTGAGAAAATTTCTTGCACAGTTCTGGGTTAGTACTACCAAATATAATATCATCAACATATATTTGTATCAACATAATGTGATTAGCAACCGAGATTTGAAATAGAGTTTTGTCAACCTTTCCCTTTGTAAACCCATGGTTCACTAGGAATAGGGACAATGTGTCATACCATGCTCTGGGAGCTTGCTTAAGACCATAAAGGACCTTTCTAAGCTTGTAGACATAGGAAGAGTGAGTAGGAATGACAAAACCTGGTGGTTGTTCCACATAAACTTCTTCTTCAAGATCTCCATTCAGGAATACACTTTTGACATCCATCTGGTAGACCTTGATGTTGTTGTAGGCAGCATAGGCTAGGAATATTCTGATGGCTTCCAGTCTGGCAACTGGTGCAAAGGTCTCATCAAAATCTATCCCTTCTTCTTGGCAATATCCCTTAGCTACCAGCCTTGCATTATTCCTTACAATGTTGCCATCTTCATCAGCTTTGTTCTTGAATACCCATTCGGTTCCAATGACATTCTGGTGCTTTGGTCTAAGAACAAGTTCTCATACTTTGTTCCTTTCGAATTGAGTAAGCTCTTCTTGCATTGCATTGATCCAGTCTGAGTCTGCTAGAGCTTCTTCTACAGTCATGGGTTCCATTTGAGATATGTAACATGCACACATTGCTTCTCTTCTTGTTGTAGCAGATCTGGTTTGTACTCCACTTTTGATTTGACCAATCACTTGGTTAGGAGGATGATCCCTTAACCACGTTCTGATAAGGGTAACCTTGGTCTGATAAGGGTAACCTTGGTCTCTCTTGCTCTTCTTCTGATTCTTCATAACTTTCTTTGTTTTACAGAATGGGAATCTGATGATGAATAGGGATAGCAGAGTTGGAGACCAACTCTGGTGCAACTAACTCTGATGTAACCACTTCTGGGGATTCTTCAAGAATCACTTTCTCCAAGTTCTCTGTTATGCTCTCAACAGAGTTGAGATCATCAAACTTGACATTAATCGATTCTTCAACAAGTAGAGTCCTCTTGTTAAGTATTCTATAGGCTTTGTTTGTGCTTGAATAGCCTAAGAACATGCCTTCATCAGCTTTTTCTTGGAACACTTTGAGATGTTCATTTCCATTGTTGAGTACATAGCATTTACATCCAAATGCATGAAAGTAGCTGATGTTTGGTTTTCTTCCTTTCCATAGCTCATAGGGGGTCTTCTGATGGGTCTTGTGAATCATGCTCCGATTCTGAGTATAGCATGCAGTATTGATTGCTTCGGCCCAATATCTGAGAGGTAGACCAGATTCAGCAATCATGGTCCTCGCAGCTTCCTTCAATGTTTTATTCCTTCTTTCTGCAACTCCATTCTGTTGAGAAGTTCTGGCTGCAGAGAGTTGGTGCATGGTTCCATTCTGGTCACAGAAATCATTTATGACCTTGTTGACGAACTATGTTCCCTTGTCTGATCTGATAGTCTTGACTTTCTGATTCTGCTCATTCTGTAGTAGCTTCAACAGAGATATTAATTTCTGTAGAGTCTCATTCTTTTTCTTCAAAAGGATTGTCCAAGTATAGGAGAAGTTAGCTAACTTACGGGTTACAAGGAAGCCCCCGGGCTGATACACATTTGTGGCCCGTATTACACGTTTAATTAATAACTACACAAATACAAAGATATTTAATTAGATTGGACACCATAAAATATTCCCAACACTTGTCACTACGCGTCGATCTGTGGTTCAATGTTGAAATGGCGTTTTGGCCTATAAATTCTAGTCCTAGGCCTTTGGCTCAGGGTTTCTGAATCTATGCATTCTCTTTCTAGCCTTAGCTCTTGCTTCTCTATAACTCTTGCCAAAGGAACCCCTGGTCTGGCTCAGTTCCCAAGTACTCCTTCATCACTTCCTTCTTTTCCTTTCTTCATTCTAATGGATCCTGCGCAATGTCTATACCCTCTTCTCGTGAGATTAACAACTCTCAAGAAGTAAGGGGTTCGGTGGATCCCGAACAACAAATGGAGTAGGTGGTTTGGGAGGGTGCTGCAGCTCGGGGTAATAACGATGTGGTGGATTCCAGTACCGAGATCGATTCCAACGTCAAGGCTAAATTTGGCGATGATATGGCCGTTTTTTATGTTGGTCCTCCAGATGACACTCCCTGTCATAAACTGAATCATTCTTTCGTGCGGCTATCAAAATGGCCGATAGGAACTCCTTGATCTACTTCTAGACCCTATCGGCTATCAACTTAGGGCAGGCTTGCACCCTCTGTGTCACCGCCGAGAAGGGTGATTGCTCATTTTGATTTAGTGGCTGACGGGCTGCGGTTTCCCCTGCACCATTTTTTCGTTGAGTTCCTGAACTGGTACGAGGTGGTGTTGGGTCAAATCATGCCTAACTCCTAACGAGTTATGGCGGCGTTCATCATGGAGTGCCATGAAGCCAATGTGACCCCGAACTTTGACCTATTCCATTATTTTTTCAAAGTCCCCCCGCTAATCGAGGGCTACCTTGCCGTAAACTCCCGCCCGAGTGGATCCCTTTTCAAGGAGAATATAACATCGATTAAGGGGTGGAAAGACCGATTCTTTTTTGTATGCATATCATACGGGCAAATCTCGAAGAGGTGGAACGGGTATCCACCAAAAGTACCCAAGCCCCGTGTCTCCAAAGCCCGAAAAAGTAGATTATCGCATTGGAGAAGGGATGACCAACTCCATCATGGAGTATCTTACTCATGAGTGCCTCCCCAAATTCGGGATAGGTATCGTCCGAAATCATGGACTTCTTAACTAAAACCCAAGTACCATGGCCCTGGCAGTCCACCTCGTGAGAGAGGTCCCCTTCAACTTGCACAATTTGCCACGTTTTTTAATCGCCCGATATTAATGCCTTTTTGTTTGATTTTCAGCTCCAACCTAAAACTTCAGAGATGAACAACAATATATTGAGGTCGCTAGGTGGTGTTGAACCGCTCAAGAAGCAGCAACATAAGAAGAAGCATCAGAAGGAGGAGGAGCAGGAGGAGGAGGTGGGGGAGGAGGAGGAGGACGAGGAGAAGAAGAAGAATGTCACTCAGGCATAGTCCTCTATCAGTTCCCAGCCCAGATAGCAAGAAGCACAGGGCATGGATCTGCTCGTTGATCCCTTTGTCCCTTAATCTACATCGTTTGTGACGGAAACCACTTCCACTGTAGTGAACGCTCATCCCTTACTGTCTATCCAGGGGGTCGACATCGGGGATGGCCAAGAGCCTTCCCACGAGTGCTCCCACTCGTCCTCCTTGGTCGATCCTCTCCAAGAACTTCTGGAGGGACTCGGGTGCCCGACAATGCCATCTAGAGCACCACCGCCTCCCTCAATGATGTGGCATTGTTGGTGCTCTCTGCCGACGCTGCCGAGGAAGGGATCTTCCTTGAGAACATTGAGAATTAAGGTGGGTGATGAGAAGTTTCTTCAATCACTATTGACTCAATGCCCATTTTAGGATCAACAAGTTATATTGCTCTTTGAAGGGTGAATAACTATAAGTCTGATTCGATGGCTACTGGTCGAGATGTGACTTTTTGTGTTGATGCAACATAGCTGAATTTTGATTTCTCAATATAAGTCATTCTTCTTTCAAAATATATAAGCCACTTTCATTAAAAAAGATTATTCCTCTTTACACTACACAAATCTCAACCACACAATGTCTGTTTTATTATTCAACGTATTAGTGAAATATGACTAAATTTAATGTGACGGAGGGAGTATGTTGTAATATTAATATTAATATTGATCATAACTAATAGGTCTAGACCTGGAAGTATAGAAGTGTTGATATGGTAATAAAATTTTGGTCAAATTCGGGTCGATCCACATGGAAATAGTTGATAGTATAAAGTTCAAGATTTGGATACAAAGTATAGAAATGATATGAATTTGTTTTTTGATATTGCTAAATATCAATCGAGCATAAGAATTACTAAATCAATCGGGGTTCACTTAAATACTTTAATAGGGTTTAGTACTTGTTCTTTGCCAATTATTATGAATACAATGTCTTTAATGCATTCCTCACTTAGAGATTAAGGCCGTCAGAACGTGGATTTAGTTATGCGTAAGTCCCATTAAGACTGACATTCCTAAATTTAGTCTCTAATGCTCATATTAATCAGAATACAACAATCAAATGCAATAGAATTCGAAACTATAAAGGAATTGAAACAACACTTAAACACCTATAAAGGAAATGATCTTCCCTCCACAATAACTCCAACAAATAAGCAAGAACAACATATTGAAAACTGTGAATTAAACTATGGAATGAATAATGATTGAGGGGTGCGAACATAGGTTTAAATAGGATAAAGATTGACACATTTTAATCTATCCACGATCATAAATTGAACCAAATGAAATTTCTCAATTCCTAACCATCAAATATTTTCACATCCTTTCACAATATTGTGGCACGTTCGTTTCTATTGTAAAATATGATCTAATCGACACCGATCAGATCATGTGACTCGAGCGGGTTATATATAACTTTTGAAGGGCGAAGGATGACCGACGTCAGTTAGATCACGGGTCCGACGCCGGTTCGTACGTGTTCGCTAATTACTTGTTCAGAAAAATCAAAGGGGTTGGCGCCTATTAGAGGGCAGGCCGCCAGTTTCCTCCCCTTCGCAAAAAGAAAGTATTTTGGTCCGTTTTGATGTTCATTGTTGACTTGGAATGGTTGATTTTCGGCCCCCCTTTGACTTTTGACCACATTTCTTCCTTGATTGTCTTTATCATTTCCAGCTCAATTCGGGATTGTTATTTGTTCTCTGCGCGTAATATTTGTAGAAATATTTTTATACTTAGTCACCGGGTTCAAAAAATTATTTTTGCTCTGATCCGTACTTCATTCTTATAAAGTTGTAGCAAATAAATTTTCACATTTCACCACACATATTAATTGATTCAATTAAAATTCATAGAACAATCATAATACAAATCCATCTTGAGTTAAGACAAACATTACAAATACAAGTACATAATTAATACAAGCAATTTTCAACAACTTTCATTTTTATCACATACTTCCTCTGTTCCTTTTTAATTACAACGGTCAACATTTCACGTTTGCCAACACACAAGTTTGACCATTAATATCTTTCATTCCTTATTAGTAAAAAATTTAAAAAAATCATAATTTGAAAATTTAGAATGAGAAGAGTTTAACAATATTTTTTATAAATTTAATTTATAATACATTAATTAATAAAATATATTCAGAGTAGAACATGCGAATAGTGCAAAAAGTTCAATGTTGCAATTAAAAGAGAACCGATTACCGATGTAGTAGTATCATCTTCTCTTCATCTCAAGCAAATAATGTCTAAAACTCCAATAGATTTGTGCATCTATGCATGGAAAATTGCAAAACCCACATCAACATTTGCATGGCTTTCTCTTGGTCAAAAAGGTAGAGTCTCCCACCCTAGGAGCTCCATACTCCGACCTGACAACATTTTTGAGAGAATGTTAATCACGGTGACTCAGTCGGCCCAATGATGGTAGACCTTATACCCGTGCGCATCAGAGACTCATTCTTATTTCAGGTTGTGTGACCTTCACACGGCCGGTGCAGTTTCGAACATCCGCATGGCTTTCTCTGTTTTATACTCCGTATCATTATTACACCAACACAATCAAGTGAATTTCCTATTCTGGCCTTCAATCAAGACTTTCTATTTTGTCATTCCATTGTTTGCACTGGTCTGTCGGCCTCGACTTCACATTCCCGGCTTTCAACGGGCAAGCGGTTGCCACCGGCGGAACCATACAGTTATACACCAAACACAAAGATACGTTCGCCGGAATAGGATCCGCCGCATTTATTTGGATTCCGGTGAGGAAGTTATGCTGCAAATAGAGAATAAGTATCTTACCTGAAAGAATCCCGTCCACGAATTCATTCGGGACCTCACCCATGAATCGGTTATTGCTGACGAAAAAATTCTGTACATCGGAAAACAGGGGAGATATATCACCGTACAAACCGTTGTAGCTGAGGTCAACGGTTGGGATCCTCACCGGGGAAAACGGTACAACTTTCCCGGAGAAATTGTTTCTGTTGAGTAGAAGATCTCTGGTGATTGGAAAACTGAAGACTTCGGGTGGGATTTCGCCGGTGAACTGGTTGAAGCTGAGATCAAGAAAGTTCAAAGCGGATAAACCGGAAAGTGTCCCGGTCAGAGTTCCATTCAGCCGATTTCTTGATAACGAAAGGGAATGAAGCGATGGAGGTAAAGCATTGAGCGGGAGAGGACCGGAAAGATCGTTGTGATCGAGGCTAAGCCGGAACAGAGCCGTGGAGACGAAAGCAGGGACCACACCGGACAGATCGTTGTGATGGAGGAAGACGTTTTTCAGCGCCGGCAGTGATCCTATTGCCGGAGGAATGTTCCCGTTGATCTGATTGAAGCTGAGATCGAGCGTCTGTAGTGCCCTGAGCTGGCCTAGAGAAGCCGGAATCTCCCCGGAGATATAGTTCCCGGCGACTGCAAGAAACCTCAGCCTGACTAATCGCGAGAGACTTTCCGGCAATGCACCGTATATCTGCCCGGGAATCACCGTAAACGATTCAAGGCTAGATAAATTGCCAATTGCCGGGTCAAGCCGACCAGTCAAACCAGGCGACCCGGCACTCTGTTCACCGAGATCTAACTCAAAGACCTTAATACTGCCGTTGTCGGCATTTTTGCAATAAACGCCGATGAAGTAGCAGGGGTCGGAAGCATTAAATTCCCAGGAACTAAAAAAGTTGGATCCTTCCAAATCAGCCAATTTGCTATGAATCGCGCGCAGAGCAGAGAAGTCATTTGGGTCAAGATTCCCATCAGCGAAGAAAGATGAATGAAGAAGAATGCTCAGAAAAGCAATAGACCTCGTCACCATTATCATGCCGCCGTAATCAGTTCCAGGGTATATATTTTGTTGATCCGGGATTATTTGAAAATTGAAAGAGATATGGGCCGGCCGAGTAACAATTTTGCTAAATAAGGAGTAATTAAATAGAATGGGGACACTGACTTGGCACGGAGATTTAGAAAGTGAAATAAAGTGGAAATGTATGATTGTAGTTGTGTAAGAAAAAGGGTGAAATGAATGTGAACCACACAAATTGTCCAAAAATGATAAGTGGGAAGAATTTTTTGGGACGACCCAAAAACAGAATCTGGGAAGAATTTTATGGGACGGATGGAGTAATTATTACGGAGTAAAAGATTATACGGAGTACTACGTACTACAAAGCTGTTCTCTTCGTTTGATCTGAATGTTTCTGATCTGAATTTTTCTGATCTGATCTGATCTGATCTGAATCTTTCTGATCTGATCTGATCTGAATCTGTCTGATCAGATCTGAATCTGTCTGATCTGATCTGAATGTTTCTGATCAGAAAGATTCAGATCAAATATTAATCTTTCTGATCTGATCTGAATCTATCTGATCTGATCTGAATCTTTCTTATCTGATCTGAATCTATCTGATCTGAATCTTTCTGATCTGATCTGAACCTTTCTTATCTGATCTGAATATGTCTGATCTGATCTGAATGTTTCTGATTTGATCTGATCTGAACTTTCTAAAGCGGTATATAATAATAATAACATCAATAATAATTATAATAATATATTAATTTTAATAATAATAAAAATAATAATTATAATAATAATAACAATAACTATTATTATTATAATTATAATTATTTAATAAGTATAGTAATAATACTTTATTGTTTATTATAAATAATAATAATAATAATTATTATATTAACAATAAACAAAGCAATATAAAATTCGTCCACATAGACAGGGTAACGTAGAAATGACAAACACATGAGTTTATTATTACAACCCAAATGGCAAAAACATAATATAAATATACTTAGTGCCATATTCATTCAACGTTGAATTGAGCGCCAAATTTCTGCAGCCATTTGTGACTGCACTTTTTCCATTTCTTGTTTGCGTTCTAGATTAAATATGCTAGTGTCAGTACTTGGCTCAATGGTGACTGCATTTGAAATTGGAATATCCAACTCATGAAGGCGGATAAAGTTGTGTAGTGCAAAAGTTGATACCATAATTGCAAGTTGATATTGAATTTCCCTTAACGGTATCCTATGTAGTATCCGCCATAAGGACTTCAATACAGTGAAACATCGTTCAATTGTTGTATGCAATGATGAGTGACGATAGTTGAAGTGTTCGATCATTCCTTGTGGTGGAGGGCCATCACGAAAGTTTGGAAGATGATATCTGCTTTCTTTATTTCATATTGGCTCAAGATATCCAAGAATGTTTGTATATCCAGAATCCACCAGATAATATTTTCCTAAGCATTGAAAATATCACGATTATAAGAGTGTGAAATACTACAAATATATGTAAAAAAGTGCTTTCGTGATACCTGGAGGTGGGTGTGGGAATTGAAATTCTGATTCAAACAAACAATGACTCCACACTGTAATGTCATGAGCACTACTTGGAAATCCCACGTTCACAAAGGTGAAAAGCATATCAAATGACACATGCTGCAAAAACATTCCATGTTTTTGATCCTTTACGTCCTCGAAAAGGCACACCATTCTCATATGAAATGACTGCACCTACATGTGTTCCATCTAAAGCTCCAATGCAATTGATGGAGTATATGGCTCAGGAACCCCCAGCTCATAGACTCCCACTACCATAGCGAAGGCCCAATAGGCCTAGGAAGCACAGCAGACCCAAATCACAGCGCCCCAAGTGCCAAACAGCCCACGACGAACACTGGGGTGCCTTCGGCCCCTGACCGAAGGCTCATAAACTTACAGTACAGTTTCTTTAAAGCACTCAAAGTGTTTGGGAGAAAGCGGCGAAAACAGTAGCCCTCGGCACCTAGAGGCCCCCGGGATGAAGAGCCTTCGGCCAATCATCTACGGCCGAAGGCATCTCCTCGACAGAATCTCCCACCCACATGCACTGGATCAACGTACCGGGTACAAACGTCACATCCAACCACCACATTTAATGCGGCCACATGCGAGTGCCAGTGCCAGCCGTTGAGGTGACCCCTCGACCACCAGAATGATGACACGTGTCCCTATTTGGCATTTATTACTACTATAAATGCTCAATACGCTCAACACATTCTCAGCAATATATATTCTCTCTCTTACTTTTGCTCTGACTTCTCTCTAGTTACTCCCCGCAGTAACCCTTCGGATAGATACCCCCCGGGTACACCTATCCATCATTTGGTGCTTTCATTGAGAGCCCAACAATCAAGTAAGAAACCCTCCCCTTCAGCTAAAAACACCTACTAAAATGGGAAGAACCACCCGTGCTCAGTCCAAGAACCTTTAGGACAACAACCTGGCCCTCGGTGAAGTCAACGCCCCCGGAGCCTCTAACAAGGCTCCCGAGGGCAGGGTCATCACTGAGTTGGAATAGGCTGCTGTCGACCTGCGCCTTCAGCTCCAGCAAAACGCTCCCGATGCCCGCCTTGGCATCGAAACCCGAAGGAGGGACCAGAGCAAAAATCAAGTGAGCCCTCCGGTTCTCACTATCGACGTACAGTCGATGTTCTCTGCCTTCATCCAGACACTCACTCAAAACCCAGGTGCCTTCAGCACTCTGGTACCCCTTCAACCGCAAATCGGGGAGAACATTGTTCTTCTCCCACGACCACCCCCCTTCGTGAACCCTACCCCTCGGGTGGGGAACGACGAAGGGGTCGTGGCTCAAGACACCGCTTCCCAGGAGGTCCAATCCCGGGACCAACGCGGTGCGAACAAAGAAAGGCCTCGGACGTCAGCCCTCGAGAGGCTCGGAGGAGCGCAAGACCGCCGAGGGGTCCAAGACCGCCTCGGTGGAAAGGCATCCCAAAGACCCCAAGAGAGCGGGGGATCCGTCTCAAGGGCAGACGAGAGGCGTCCCCATCAGGACAAAGGCAAGGCACCACTTCATGCCGATGACGCAAGGCACCAAATCAATCAGGCCCACTCGCCCCGTGTTCGTTCGAAGGGGGTGGAGGCCCTCCCGAAGGATCCCAGGGACGAAATCATTGCGGCCTTTCAACGCCGGCTTAATGGGATGGAGGCTCATCGAGCACATACCGTCGTCGCCACCCCTCATGCAGATCCAAAATATGAGGCCATGCTGGCCAAAATGGGGGAAATGCAAAAGAAAATAGTCGAAGGCTTCGGGGAACCCGTCATCCAACTCCGGACTAGGACGCCATTCACCCCAAGGGTATTGGCGGCCTGAATTCCGGAAAAATACCGCAAGCAGCCCATCAGGCCCTATGAAGGAAAGACGGACCCTCAGGAACATTACAGCCGATACCAAAACAACATGATGATGGTGGGGGCATCGGACGAATATTTGTGCCGTTGGTTCCTCTCCACCTTGGAGGGACCGGCGTACGAATGGTTCAACCGACTGCCCGAAGGGTGCATCGATTCATGGCAAGAACTCACCCAACGCTTCCTGACGCAGTTTGCAGGGAGGCGCCGGTCAAGGAAACACTTCTCCCACTTACTAACAGTAAGACAAAGGAAGGAGGAGACCCTTCGGGACTTCTTGGAGCGCCGGAGGACGGAAGCGGATAAAGTTGATGGCGCTGATGATGGGACCCTCCTGGCCCTCCTTCAGACAGTTCTTCGCCCGGGAACTTTTCAAGGAGCCTCATCATCGAACTTCCCCGCGATTACATAAGGGCCCTGCAGCGGGGGGACCGATACACCGAGGCCGAGGAGGTGGAAAAGTGCCATCACAACTCCGATCAGCAACACCCTCAGCCAGATGACAAGGGTAACCGGGGGCCGGGGGCTCCCCATAATCAATCCAAGGTTTCGGCACCCCCTAGTGATCGCCCCCGGCATGGCCAAGCCAAGCCCGGGGGAGGTTACAAGGGAAACCCGAAGCCTTGGGCCCAACCCATTCTTTTGGAGCACCCTCAGACTCCCTTGACGCACCCCATCAGTGTCATTCTAGACTTCGCCGAGGAGAGGGGCCTTGTGGAGCGCGACTCTCGCGCACCCCTGGAGGTATACGCCATCAACCCCAATTATCCTTATTGTCAGGCCCCCCTAAGAAAGCAAACGCTTGGGTCAACCCAAACACCACCCCCTTTGGCGACCCGAAGGGTAAGAAAAGGGAGATTGGAAACCTCGATGAGGAGGAGGAGTACAACCGGTACCAAGAGAAAAAGTGCCACATCCATATGATCACTGGAGGCAACACAGGAGGGGACTCCACCAGCCAGTGGAAGAAATGGGCTCAATCGCTATACGTGGGGGAAGTCACTCATATGCCCCCGGTAAAGCGGCTGAGGGAGGAACCCATCACCTTCACCAGCGCCGATTTTCCCCCGGCTTCCTCTCCGCACAGGGATGCGCTCGTCATCCGTACGTTGATCAACAACACCATCATCCACCGAACTTACATTGACACGGGCAGCTCCGTCAATGTAATGTACCTCAACACATTCAGAGAGCTGCATCTGGAGAAGGGGTCCCTTCGGCCAATCAAGACCCCTCCTGCCGGCTTCACCGGAGACACCATTGATTCCGAGGGGGTCATTACCCTCCTGGTACTATTCGGCGACGGGCTCCATAGAGCCACGCTCGAAGTGGAGTTCATCGTTGTCAACATCGACTGCACCCACATCATCATCCTTGGCAGACCAGCCCTCGAGGACCTCAAAGCCATCATCTCCATGAGGCATCTGTGCCTCAAGTTTCCCGCCGAAGGAGGCATCGGCTACTTGAGGGGGAATCAAAAACTTGCCCGCGCTTGCTACCTTCAAGTGAAAAAGAAGGTTAGTAAGACCGAGTTCCGTGTTGACACCATCACCGGAACCGTGGAGGAAGAAGAGAAAAGGCCGAGGGCTGAGCCCGCCGAGGAAGTAGAAGACTTCGCACTCGATCCGGCCAAGTCGGAGAGAGTTGTGAAGATTGGGGCCAAGCTCCCCGAAGACCTGAAGACCGGCATAACTGAAGCCCTCCGCGCCTACTCCATTGTTTTTGCATGGGGGCCGGAGGACATGCCCGGAATCAGCCGAAGGGTCATCACCCACCGCCTCTCGGTGGACCCTTCGGTCAAACATATACAACAGCGAAGGAGAGCCCTCTCGGCCGAGAGAAGGGATTTTGTGAAGAAGGAGGTTGCCATGCTCCTCTCCATCAAGCACATCAAGGAGGTAAAATACCCCTCATGGCTGGCTAACGTAGTCCT